ATGATATTGATCAAGACAACTCTTCAGCCTCAGGTTCTAGATAGAAGAGATGGATGTTATGGATCATCACCTGACTTATCTGATTAAGACTCGAGAATTTAGAGTTGAGACATTAACTCATTGAGCTTGAGTGCATTTTATTATCTTTTTCATTAATATATGTTATGAACTTTTGGACTTTGGAATTTGAAAGTGATATAATATACTTATGTACCTGTGGCTGTGAGGCTGTTGTTGTGACTGTGAAGTGCTTTTTGATCTATAGATGTTATGTCAATTGTCGTGACTATTTGGCCTTTTCGGTTTTAGTTATTTAATAATGAATTGACATGGACTTGCATGAAAACCTTGTTTCACCCAGGGCCAAGTTCCAAGGCAGTGTCACATTTTCTTACACTGCTTCTAATAATATAATAATTTTGAAACAATCTAATCTACAGCAGTTATAAGCAGTAAGCCAATAATATACTAGAGCTTGTCATATAATTCAAACCAATGGATCAGATAAATTGAGAAAGTTGTCCTAACCATCGGCTTGCAGCTCTTCCAAGGAGAAGCAACTTCCAATTGACTCTGGTAAGAACTTTAATTTATTATTTGACACATTCAACAGCTGAAGCTGCATTACAGAAAAGCAAGTAATAAGCCAACAAAATTTGATTGGTATACGAGAATTTACATCATTTAAACACACACACACACACATTGTTCATATTCTTTCTTGAGTAATACACAATGTTAGCATAGCCTCATACAAATATATTGTAGAGAGACAAGGAGACCCCAGAGGAAATAGCAAATCATAAAAGTAGAAGAGGGAAGGAAACTACGCATTCTCTATTTATTCATATATCGTAAATGGAATTATTTTCCCCATAAAGGAAACATCAACTTCAAAAGACAACGATATTAGGAATTGAGAGTGAAGTTATGCATTCATACACTCCGCAAGCTGCCAATAGTTTCTGGCAAGCATGACAGCAAATTTCCAGAAATTGACAAGCGCTCAAGCCGGATTAGTAGGCCCACTGCAAACAAAAGCAATTTGAATTGTCAATACAGACAGGTAAATTTATAGACAGCTCAAGGAGGTTAATGCCAAAAACTGAAGCTAAAAATATATTAAATATTAAAAACCACAGTAATATTTATTCTTCCCATTTTCCTTGTTCTTATCAAAACAAAATAGGAAAAGAACACAACAAATTCCTAGAACGCTTGCATGGGTCATGCAAGTGTTACTGAAACTTGGAACATCAAAGCAGCGGCTACTCTAGTTAACTTTTTCAAAACACCTTGTCCATTTAACACATTTTAAAAAACTTTTATCTAATTTTTAGTAACAGATCAGAAGCAAAACATCATCATCTGAACCTTATCCCACCACCATCATCATCATCATCATCTAAACCTTATCCCACCACCATCATCATCATCAGAAGCGAAATCTAGATTTCAAAAAAAAAAATCTGACAGAAAGTATAGAAAAAAAAACTGAAAAGATCGTTTTTTTTGCAAAAACTGAAAGTAAAAAAAGGTCCAAGCACTATTTTGAAATTCAGAAATAAAAAATGGAATGCAAAACAAGAACATCGTATAAGGAAAAAATAAATAAAGCTAGAATGTGAAATTCAAGAATATTCTCTTATAACAATAAGACCTACACTCATCAGGCATGGCTGTAATCCGATTGCCATCAAGTACTAGGATCTTTAAAGACTGAAGTCTTCCCAAATTCAAAGGGAGATTCTGAATAAGATTGTCAGCCAGAATCTGAGAAGAATAAACCTATTGATTAGTCCAGCGCAATATAAGTGACTACAAATTCACCATAGAATGAGAAGGTTTTCACTGTAATATCTGCTGCATGCTTACCCTAAGATACCTATACACTCAAGGATGAGAAGAGAAGGGGAAAAGATAATGCAGGTGGTCCAGAAAAACTTGAAATACCATGACAGCACCTGAGCCTGTCAATTTCTTTTTTAGTTGATTAGTTTGTCTGATTTGGTGTTAAAAAGGGATGATAAAGGGGTAAAATGACTGAGATAAAAATAGTCTCGATGAAAAGAAAATAGCCACTTAAAAGAATTTCACTCGCCCTGTATTTTACCGATATTTCAAACAATTGCATGATCCTTACTGGTCTTCTAATTTCTAAGTGAAGTACTGACATTACTCAGAGAAAAGGATGCTGGAGATATAAACGAAGCAAGAAACTTTAAAAAATTGGAGGTAAGAAGTGGAAATGCTAAAAAAGGTGACCCTCACCAGTCGCTGCACGTTGACTAATTTACTGATCTCCAGAGGAATGTCAACTGCAAAAGCAATATATCATTTCATCAAAAGGTATATAAGATATCAGATACGGAAGATTATCTCCAGTGAAAATAAGTCCTTGAAAATTATCAAGTCCCTCCTAGACAAACTTTTGATTACTACATTAGCATGAAAGCAGTTGCTTTGGAATTGCATGAAAGATGAACTTCTAAGTTCTAAGAATCCAAAATGGAAGAACAAGAAAGAAAATAACTATAGTTCACAAAACCAAGTAAAATAACCAAACAGCAGCCGACAAAAAAAGAAAGTGAAAGAAGCATGCCCATCTAGCCCATGTAACAAGTGAAAGAAGCATGCCCATCTAGCCCATGTAACAAGTGAAAGAAGCATGCCCATCTAGCCCATGTAACATCAAAGATAAATCTAAGGTTGCTCCAATCTGATGCATCTAAATATTAAAAACAGCAATTCCAAATTATTAATGAATCAAACTGAAAAAGAAATTCCACATAACCACATCCTGGATCAAATCCCTGAGCTAATCCATCCAAAAAAGAAAAGGAAAAGAAAGAAAAAATCCAGGTGTGCCCCTAGTTTTGAACATCATAACAGTGCTCAGAAGATGAAAAAACAAGGAAGCATACCTATTTTATTATGCGTTAGGTCTAGTGTGCGCACAGCTCTTTCAAGATCAAGGACATCATTTGGTATTGTCTGTCAAACATTCACAATCAGAGTGACAAAGCTCAGTTGCTAATAATCGATCAGAAAAAAAACATTTACTTGCTAACTTAATGGTTGCAGGACTTGAAATAGAATCTACGATTCACATGTCAAAAAACAAATAAATAAATGTCGATATTTTTAGCAAAACAAATATTAATAATAAAATGTTTTATGTTAATGTTGCAAAGGAAACTGCTAACACTGAGCAAGTATGAGAACAAGGTCATGGAACACAGCAAAAACACTTTATTTCTACTAGAGTCAAGACTGTATACTAAATGCTCTTCACTTTTCTATATCCAATTAACTAACTCCAAAGACCCTCAAGCAATTATCATCCTCTGCAACATCTCCTTCTCAAATTCTTTAGGTTAAAAGCACTGAGAGCAGACAATAGAACACATGGGCACCCCTGAGCAGTAACCTCAATGGTGTGAAGCATATGCTCTATGCCTAATTAGACAACAAGCAAACACGAAATCAAAGTGACAAGTTCAGGCTTATCTCCTGTATTTGAGGTGTAAATCTCAAATGAACAATTGGCTATTTTCTGTGTTTTGGAGTTCAACACTGTAGGCTCTGAACTCCTTTGACTAGTGTCATTTGAGATCATAGAAGAAATACTAGTAAAATGATTTTTTGTTTGCACAGTCATGATACAAGGAGGCCCATGACTTCTATGGAAACTCTCTTAGATATCATTTCATGTTCCCAAGATCCCAAGTTCCCAACACAAGACATTATCCAAAGACATGAACCAAGTAACAGACAAATAAATAACACGTGAAGAAATCACAGTTATTTTAATACAGATATATAATTAATCCCCATTATTGTCAGAATAAAGTAGAAAGAATAAAAACTGATAGTACCCCACCAAGAGAACATACGAAAAAGAACCTATAATCCCCATTAAGTAAGCATACAAAAAGAAACCCAAAATATCCATTAAATCAACTATTGTCCGGAATAATTTACATAGCAACCTATGCTTGGTAATATCATGGGAAATAAAATCCACAAAAGATGCAGGCCAAAGTCCCCTGCTTTTGAATTCCACAATTCCTTTTTCAAGAAAAATGGCATGATCATCAACTCCATTGCAATGCATCAACCCTATAAGCAAATCTATCACGAACTGACAGAAACCCTAACCTTCAATTTTGAATCCCTTAGACCAACAATACCAGTAGAGCGCCATCTTGAAGTCCTGCTAGCTGCCCCATTAACTTCCTTGCTACTGCAACACCCCATTCTCAGAAACTCCCCTGCTTTCTTACCAAACCATTCAAACCTGACTTGGGCTCGAAAACCTAAAGCCCCAAATGTGGGTTTATCACCTCTCTATAAGAGAATTCTAAGTTTTCTCTATCGCAAGGAACCAAAATCAGAGGAACTCAATGGTGCCACTTCCAAGCTATCGTGACATTACCCGGAAATGGAAATTTCTAGGTTTTCTGAGGTCTATAAAAATTGGGAGAACAACCATAGAGGAAAACGAAATTCATGAAAAAAAAAGAAAAAACCCTAAGTTCGAAAGATTGTAGCAAAATTTGCATGGATGTGAGGTTATTGCAGATGAAGCAAATGGTCAGCTCAATATAACGTAATAGTTACGTGCGGGTGTGTATATAGTTACTGTGTATATTCTCTTTTTAGTTATATTGACCAAAATGCCCTCTACCTAATTCTTTTTAAATAAAAAAATATCGAGGCATTTTTTGTTTAAAGTAATATGATAAGAAAAGCCTTAGTTTACTATTTATTTTTATTATAAAGAGGTCCCCACCACTTTTAACCACTAAATGTCAAATTGGATGGTCGAGGTGCGTTACAAAGATCGAGAAATTTTGCTTTGCACTTTGAGTCAATCTAATGATATTATTACAATCATTTAATTTAAAATCTGACAAACAATAATAATTATAACCTCAATATATTAAAAGTAAATAGTATGTATACCATGTACTAGTGGTGTATGCTATACCTTCATATTACTAGTTATTCTTTATAATGTTAGGAATTGAAATTTACCTAAAAAGCTCGAAGTCTCCCAATTTTTCTACTATTATTTCATCATTACCATCATCATCTTTTTCTACTATTATTTAATTGATAATTATTTTTGGAAGGTGATTTTATTGCAGGCTTAATGCCATCCCTTTGATAAGATCTCAACATTCTAGCCACATGCTATATTCATTTGTTTTGCCTTTGATCTCTGATCTAAAACTTTATTCTTGCAAATACAGATTGTCAGAAGCAAGCAGAAATACAATTACTTTCGCATAAATTCCTACAACCCTCATCTGGCTAGGGGTTTTTTTTAAACTACCATCAAAGTTTAATTTAAGCACCCTGAGTAGAGGTGTCAATCATCTTGTGGACCCTGCCCTTGCCGAAAAAGCGCCTATGGTCAATCTCCGAGAAGTTCGACTGAAAATTTGCTACATTAAAACACATAGAACTCCTTCCAGGCTCTTCCAAAAACAGGCGATTCTTATTCTTGACTCTTATTCTCAGATTTCAATCACTACATGGGAAATAAATTCACATATAACTCATCATTCCTCATGACTTACTTAAAATGGGGATTAAGGATTTAACTGACTAGTAACATTAGCTAGTTCAAGGCTATTTCCGACTTATGGCTTCAATAGACCATGAAACCTGCATGGTGTGCAACATTACCACATACCATTGGTGTATGATATGATTTCTCATCGTTATTTATTTGGTTATTATTTTCTAAAGTGTTTTAGTTATAGGCTTGATTTGAGCTGCTCGATAAGATCGTGATATTTGAGCAATGGGGTTTCTAACATAGTGGTCAAGATGGCAGAGTCACAACATGACTTCAAGAATTCTAATTTTATATTTGACTGTAGTCTTGCACATCGTAGACCTTTAATCGCTATTCCGTAGAGTCTAGACAATGAATCCCATGAATTTGAATTGTTATGTATAATGGAAATTTACTATAGGAATTGCTTGCAAAGAGACCATTTATTTTTATTACAAGGAGGTCACAATTGTTCTCACTTGTTAGATATCAAATTGGATGGTTTAGGATGAGTCGCGAAGTTTGAGAATTGTTTTTTAGAGTTTTGTGTCTATTCAATAATTCTTACAATCACCTATTTTGAAATTTAACGAACAAGCATGATTGTGATCTCTTTGTACAAAAGATAAGTTGTTTCCCTTTACTATATAACTCCTTAAAATAAATATAAAAAATCAGTGCAAGACAAATGGCCGTATTGGATAATGATTACACACACATTCTAAGAAATTAAGTATTAGTTTAAATTAATGACTATACTCCAAATCTATCACCAACTGATAATGATAACCATGTGGTGTACACTGTACCATTCACCACTATACTCTCTCGACCCTATTTATTTGATTATTTTTAGGGAGGAAAATTTACTCGATATGTGTATGGACTATGGAGCATGGTACTATGACTCAATCCATTATCCACGTTTATTCAAAGCAATGGTGGGTCAGTTGTTTCCACTTTTATTGCCACTTAGTTTCTTCCGCGAGAACAATTATTCAACACCATTATTTATGAAAGCATGGCGATAGATGTTGGTGAAAAGTATCTAAATACTAAGAAAAAGTTTATATAGAGGCTCTAAACAATCAAATTAGACTCCATCTCAAAAATTTTACTAGAAGATGTTGTTTTAATGCCTAAATATCCTAAAATTGATGATCTCAACATCAAGATGCATGGACATGAGAAAAAAAATGGATTTTATGTTTTGAAAATTGTGCACCTTGTAACACATTTTTGGACTGTCAATTTTCAAAATGTTCAAGTTTTCATGGATTTGCGATCTACACTATTTTTGAAGCTTTAAATTTTATAAGTAAAGATGAAAATATAATTTAAGACTATCACAAAGACTTCGAATATTGAAACAGTATTTTTCGACACTATTTGAAGGTGCATTTTATTTTGATTGTTTAGAACCTTGGTTCTATATAAACCATTGAACCACGGCCCATATAAGTGCTGACAATTTAAACCCCAATAAAGTGAGTTCATTAGAGTTTGAATGTTTTCTTGAGCTCAATGCTTGGTACTTCTTCTAGGAATCATATTTGATGTGACCATTTACTTTTGATACAAAAAATGTTAAAAATATCCTAAGCTACCAAATGTTGAATCTCTCGTATATATAATTTGACAAGCTCCTGGGAGAAACTTTTCTCATACTAAGGGAAATTTAATAAGGTATATAAGGGCAAGGCCCTAAATAATCCAATTAAGGTGCATGTCAAAAATTTACTAGAAGAGGTTCATTCAATGCTTAAATATCCTCAAATACATCATCTCGACTTCAGTACTTATGGACATGAGAAAAAATAGATATCAAATATTGAAAATAGTACATTTTGTAATGCACTTTCTAGACTGTCAATTTTCAATATTTTAAAGTGCTCATAGATATACTTGAGCAACATTATTTTTAAAGCTTTGAATTTTATAATTAAAGTTGAAAACAAATTTTTAAGCCATCACAAAGTTTTTTAGTACTAAAGAATACTTTTCGACACCATTTGAAGGTGTGCCTTATATTGTTTGTTTAGGGCCTCGGCCTTATACAAACCACACCCATTTAATAACGATATGACTTGGGGTGCTTTTGACCTTTTGACAATCTGTTTAACTGCAAATCTTTTTCTCTTTTATTTTATTGTAACTCAAGGTCTCATCTAACACACTTAATGAGGAAACACTTTATTTAATGTTTTTAGTGTCATGAGCTTCTTTTGGGCAAAAGTTTTCACCTTTGACTTGGTGTTCTTAGAAGTAATCATCCAATGAAAATGCATGGCTTCCATAAGGAGAGCAAGGTAATGATCACAGATGGTGCTTAAGGCAATAAATAATTCATGATATTTGTTTTTCTTAATTGTTATGACTAATTCATGGCCTTTCTAAACCCTCTAAACACATGTTGCTTGCACCTCACCTGTTTGACTTGACATACTATAAAAACCCTAAATTCGGGAGGTCCACTTATTGAAAACCCCCCTAAAGTAATTTTTTAAAAAGGAAATATATATTAAAGGGAAAAGCTTATACAAGGTATCGATATTATATTGTGGAAGCAAGGTGCATCTAAAAAATTTTACGTTAAAATATTGTTTCGATGTTGAAAAACCTATCATCTTGAATTAAGAAATATATATATATATATATACATAAAGTCTTAAAAATAGTGCCCCGACTGTCTATTTTAAAATATTTAAGTGTTTATAGATCTCATCGATCTACACCATTTTTAGATCTTTAAAACTTTATAATTAGAGGTAAAATTAGATTTTTAGGTCATCATAAGGGTTTTCGATACCAAAACTACACCTTTTAATAATATTGAGAGATGTGTCTTACTTTGATTGTTTAAGGTTGACACCTTATATAGACCGTATCATCACCTAAATCAACTCAAAACATCAATGACATAGTTAAATCAACAAACTCACCAATAAATTGGTTACTATCTAAAAAAGTATTTCATTTAGGTATTTCCTTGATAATTTTATTCGAAATGCTCAAATTACTCTTATTCTTAATATATAACCCTAAACAAGTTAGGGCAATTTGGTATTTTGGCCCACGTAGATCACATGACTCAAATAACATAGACACCCTCCAGGCTACAAGCCAAGAACATGTTCTTCATTAAAAGATCTACTAGAGTTTAGAAGCCAGAACTTACACGGGTATTCGGCAAATTTTGCCCCACATATCGTTGGAACAAAAAGACATAAATACCCCTATTTGTTCAAGTTGAAAACCTAGGATTAGATTTTGTAATGAAAGCTTATTTTTCAAGTTTAGAACTCGAACAAGTATAAGTATTTGTGTTATTTGAATCGAGTAAATTTAGTTACTAAATTACCAAACTGCCCTCTCTTGTTTAGGGTTCCAAAATAACCAATAATGTTTGAAATAATTTCATAATATAACATTTTTATTGGTAAATTGATTGATTGAGTCACTTCACTTATATCTAAATTAGATTGACCATTTTATTGATATTTCCCTAAATAAAATAGTAGTTGAATTTTAAGTAGTTCTTAACTTAAGGGTGATTGATCAATGTTTGGAATCTAATTCTATATTTCAATTACTATTTTGTCCATTTAGTATGAAACTTTAGGCCATCGACTTCCCCCTTGTAATATAATATCAAAAATAAAAATAAAAACTTTAATTTTTAAATATATGCACCAAAATAAACTATGGATGTACGGTAGGCACAAGCCACTTTGAGTTCAAACCCCATCCTTGTGATTTAGAGATTTCTCTAATATCTTTATGACTAAAAGTGTCAACACACCAAGTAAGAATGAAGTGTTTGAAAACATGGATTGGTGGCGTGGATTGTCCATCCCATATATTCATGTCAGATTGCAAGATGACCGATCCGCACTGGTTTAGATCTGCCTGCATGGCAATTCATAAAAATATTAAAATATATATAAAAATTAAGAGAGGGATTTATGAGTGGACCTAAAAAAACATCAGATAGGTTAGATAATGCAAAAAAAATGAAAA